AAAATGGCTTTGAAAAAAGCAAACATTTTACAACATACTAAAAGCTTTTTCGTCTGACACTCCTCAGAGCATAAAACGTCAGAATAGGTTCCGAAAAAACACGTTTGAAAAATATATACCCAGTTGTGGATCGAAATAGGCCAATCAGAAAAACGCAAGCACAAGACCGGTATAGTTGACCAATCAGTGCCGCAAGCCTAAAGAAAAATTACCAATGGAGTCCAAGAGAGAAAACGAACTCCTTTTGTCTACACAATGGCGGCTTTTCGTTTTTATGTAGATTGACTCCAAAACTGCTAGATGGAAGGACGACCGGGCTCTGCCAATTATCCGAAACATGTCGTCATTATAGAGTTTTGCACAATCTGGGTTGTCTAAAAGATGTTGACCAATGGCAGAATCACTTGTTTTAACAGTGTTTCTAGACCTACAAGATCGAGGAGGCTGTTCTCTTTGAGGGGCAGTTTTGTTACGTATGTTGGAAGGAACATGCTGTTTTATCCTATCCCCCAATCTTTGGGTTGTGCGCCCTACGTAGCCAGAATCACACTGGCACGTAAATTCATAAATGACGGAACTTTTTTGTTTGGTAGGGACGCAATCCTTTTGAATGGATGGAAGGGCTCTCCTAGTGCTGTAAACAATCCGAGGATTGACAGCAAAGAAACAATTGGTTATGGCTTGCCTAATTTGACTCTCGAATCGCAAGGAAGTGTTACCAATCCATGGTAGTTTCAAATAAACTGGGCACTTTTGCGGACCAAACTTTTGAACAGCCGAAAAACTTGCGATCTTCTCCTTAGTATAAGATAAAATGACGTCTTCAGGATAGCCGTTGTCCAAGAAGATCGTTTTGAGTTTTTCCAGTTCAGCGTGCAGTTTAGATTTCGAGCAGATCATATGTGCCCTATGTACTAATGTTTTGACAAGGTTGACTTTGCGTTGTTTTGGGCAAAATGAATTCCAGCGTATGTACTGACCGGTAAAAGTAGGCTTGCGATATACACTGGTAAGAATCCAGTGTTAGACTTTTCGACCAAAACATCTAAAAATGGCAAGGAATCATTTTCTTCCTTTTCAAACGTAAACTGGAGGGCTGGGTGTAGGCTATTTAGGTGTTTTAGAAAAATATCACACTCAGCCTCTGTTTTGAAAATGGTATATGTGTCATCCACATACCGAAAATAGACACCTGGCTTTTGGTCGTAGTCGAACAAACGCTCTTCATGAAAGCCAACAAAGATATTGGCCAAGGCAGGTCCCAGAGGGCTACCCATAGCGACACCATCCTTTTGTTGGTACATTTCATTGTTAAAACTGAATTCAACTGAACGTGTTGCAGTTTCCATCAGTTCAATGAATACTTCCTCTGGGAATGGTGGGCTATTAAGCTCGCTTCGGTACAAAGCGTCGGCACATATTTTGATGGTCTCACTCAAAGGAACATTTGTGAAAAGACTACTAATGTCAAAAGAACACATGAAAGATGTTTCGTTTTCGATGTTCAAGTTTTGCATGAACTCAGCGAACGTAAAAGAATCCTTGATGCAATGTTTTGAATATTTTTGAAGAACAGGGTCCAAAACTTCAGAAAGCCACTTAGCCAGTTCGTGTTGTGCTGAGCCAATCATAGACAAGATAGGTCTAAGTGGGACATTCGGCTTGTGTATTTTAGGGAGGCCATATTTAAGCTATCTGCTATATATTTATAAACTGCCAAATTTAAGCGAGTTTCAATATAACTAACTGATATTATTTTGCTTGCTGAAAGATTGAAAACTAAAGAATTGGGCTGTGTTGTATAATACAATCTTGCTTGTTTTGTTGCCATCATTTCTTTTACTGTGACAATTTTTTATTTCTGACACGCTGTAAAAATCATGAATGCTATTTGAAGGTAATGTGTCCAGCTAAAGCAAGCGACTCTGCGGGGGTTTTTGGAAACATGTGATTTTTCATGTCATCGCCCCAGCTACTACGATCGTTATGTTTATCTGTCCTGCTGTGAGGTTAGCTTTTCACGTGAGCAGTTTTGCCTCGCAAGAATACTAACCAATCGCAAACCGTTGTTTTGATGGGTGGCTTGACAAGTTGGGTATACGCAGTCCTTTTATATGGACACATTACCTTTAATTAGAAACACATGATATTATATGGTATATCGTATCCTATCGTGTGGCTCACAGCAGAAAAAGTTACCAAATAACATAATTCCTCACATCATAGTTGAAGTGCATTTAGTTTAAAGGTAGTTGAGGGTAGTAAATGACTGTAAAGTGAAGTGAAGATGGTGATATTGTTAAAACACGTGTAATTTTTTCTTGAAAGCTCGTTGGTCAGCATCGCTAGCCTTACCTTGAACGTTATGAATATCGATCGTTAAAATGTTTGGATAAACCTTTTTTATTGCATCTAGATACTATGTCCTGCTTGCAGATGTAAGCTCGGAAGTATTCGATGGAAAGGTAAGTTAAGATTTTATTGTTTCAAAGTCGCACAGTTCCAAACGAGTTTTATTAAAACTCGCACAAAGTTAGAATGCTCCTTCATGGCATGGTGATGAACACTTTACAAATTTTTCTCTTTTTAAATTCTTTACACGCGATATATTTTCTGCTATACTACCATCTTGTAATACAAGATTTTTCAGATTTACAATTTAATATTCTGTGTCTTTGAGCAAAACTACAAATCTAGTCTAAAGCAAGTGCTGTTTTTCGCCATGCTATTTATCTAGAACACGTTCCACATTCCACGGGCTGAATAGCAATATCCTTTGTGGAATTTTTTGCCTTGGAAAATGACAGATACTTAAAATACAATCAATTCACTATTCTATTTTCCTTTAATTTGTAAAGCTATCTGGTTTATATGGGTTTTTCGGGGATTCTCAGGTAGACGATAATTTTTGTGAATGGAGCGCTACGAAATTTGATAACTGATGCCTAGTTGTTTGTTTAACGTTTTTGTATTTGCATTGTTGCGGTTAACAAATTCGTGCATTTATTTTAAGAAAATTTCTACAAGAATCTGGGCTCTAAGATGACCAAAATTTAAGAAACATCCTTAAAAGATAACTCAAAATAAGAGTTAAGTAGTGGTAGCCATTGGAGATTTTCAGATTGCCGCAGGTTCTTTCACTTTGGTTTCAACTACAAGGTAGTTAAAACTGCTTCAATGGCTACAAATTGATTGAATCATAAGGAATTATCTGGACATTTTTCTTAGTTTTTTGGGAAATAGCAACTAGTGTCGCTTGTAAATGATTAAATGTTACATGCTGGCTGTGTTTGTTTTTTTGTAAGAATGGGATATATTTATTAATATATGAATTTAGATATAACTGGATAAGCTTAAGGAGGGATTTGCAGCATTTCCTAATACTAGCTTTTTTCCATGTTCCTTTCTGTTTTATTATTTAATATTTAATTATTTTCAAACAGAATTCCTGATGTAAATCTTTTAATTTTTCATTCCCTCATGGCGGTTTCCCGTGAGATTCTTAGCAGATAAAAACCTTTCGGAGAGATTCTCCTCGTTATTTTGTGCTGTTTTCATTTTTCGTTATTCGTTATCCGAAATGATCTTCTTAAGATCAGTCCTAAGATGTATATGGCATCAATTGTTAAGCTTGTGCGTTTCAAAGTATTATTGATTTTTTTCAACTTTCCTTATCCTTTTGTATCTAAAAAATACCTGGAATATGTACCATTTCTGACAGTACAGAAGAAGCGAAAATGTAATTTTAATCCATCACCGTTAAAATTTTCAGAAAAATGCTGTTTTTCTAAAAACCTTGATATTTCCAACGCAAAGAATTAAATCTTAACTCCTTACGTCCATGCTTTCTGTCGAGGTTGTAATATTCTAGGATCTCATTTTTATTTCCTTTCCTCGATCGCTTTTCATTGCGAGTAGGAATCGAGCCTTTAAATTCCAAAAAGAAAAAGCGTCATTATTCCCAGCCCAACTGAGCTCACTGTTTAGTCCAGCGGTTTAGTGAAGACAACGAATGCAAAGCGTTGAATAGCCTACATTTTGCTGATCAGGACAAGGCTATAACTGTGGCTAAAGGTTTCAAGCTTTGCACTTTTATGTTTTTTTTCAAGAATCCATAACTCTAAGGATTCTTCTTAATGCTGATTTCTATCATTACAAATGCATGCATTTCACAATTAGAATTCTGGCAAAACATTTTTCGAAAGATCCGGTGATAAAATTTTGCGGTGGCAAAGAATAAGTCGATGCGGAGGAGAGGAAGGAAAGTGTCTCTATTTCCAATCCTTGCTCAAAAATTTTTTCTGTGACTTGCTTCTAACTGTACCCAGGGTAGACAAAGCAGACAATTAAGAAATATTTTGAGTTTGCGAATGGGAGTTTTAAAATACGAAACAGTGTCTTAGCTTAGTGATAGCAGGAATAACAGTTTACTGTATTTAGTTTTCTTGCATTGGAAAATGATTGCATTTCGCCTGTGTTCAGTTCGACATTGCTCTTAGCCTTATCTGTTTTCTTTCTGTAGGGTGTATGTGTTCTTGCAAGAAGTGGGTAAGACCAGCGATTCAAGTGCATAAAAGTAAGGTTGATCAAACACTTTTTTCGACGCCTGTGGAACTTTTAACTCCAAGCCACGATGGAAATACCTCTGTAAAGTGAACATTATTGGTATCGTATTTGAACCCCATTTTGCAATATGATGAGCCGCAAGTAAGCTTGGTTCTTCTGAGCCAATGTGAAGTACAAACAGTTAATGTATTTTCATCTCAAATAGAATATCATTGTTGTGACTGAAGGCGCCCATGCCAGGCTGCAGAGTGACGTCAAGGTACTTTGCCTCCGGGGTAATTCTTTGAAGGGTATTCAACCGCAACTCCGGGCTAACTCTTTTTATTTTAGCTGTCTGTGGTTTTAAAGCGCACAATTTTCTCAATGTTCTCTTCGATTCCTGTCTAGAGTTTAAGATCTTCACTTGAAAAGATAACTTTGTAGACCTGTGTTACCGGAAACAAGCTCCAGCCCTCATTTTGATCTCCAGTTTGTGGTGCCTCTTATCGCTTTATACACTTGTGGGTGGCATAAAATTGCAGTCGATTAGCTCATCTCAATCCAACAAGTTGAATAATCAGTCAGAAAGTCTAAGTTATGTTCCCATTTGCAAACCAAAAATGTCTAAACCTAAAAGGGACACAACCAATTGGAGATCCTAATTGCTGATAAGATATAAATTGGTTTATAAAGTTTTTTCTTACCAATATAAATTATACCTGCCCGAGTTTCTTTAGTTTCTCTACACCTTGTTGAGAGGTAAGTTGATTAGGGGCCTACTTTGTTTCTGATGCCTCTAAACAACTGAAACAGTATATTGTTTATTAACTTAACTTAAAGTTACAACGTAAGGCTCAAAGAGCATTGATTCATTATGCTAGCAACTTATTTTTACATTATTATTGTATCTGAAATCTGCTTTTTAAAAGTGAATCAGAGATGCAAGATACATAATATATGCCGGATACACAAAACTGGAGCTTTCATGTTTTGTTGAATTTGTTTTGCCTTTATATCGCGGTAACTTGCGCATTCTGCGTTGATGTCAAAGAAAGCTACGATGGCGGTGAAAGAGAGTGTACATGTTCTGGAGATAATGCGGTATAGTAAATAAAAATAGTTTGGATTGACGTACGAACAGAAGTCCAGATTGAGCTATGACGCATCTCTCTACCAGCCTTCTATCTTACCAAAAGTTAAAACTGAAATCTTTGGATTTGTCATACAAAATTTATCTTAAAATTTGTAGATATAGGCGACGTGTAAATGTTAATTGGAGCTGAACTTGATGGTATTGCTTGGCCAAGTTAAGACGTCATAAAAACATATTTTCAGGATTTTCAATTCGGACTGTGTAATCTGAAGAACACCGTTGAATGTGTCTAAATATGCATTACTAGTCAAATCTTAAATTGCCAACAATGAGCACATGACATACGAGAATAGGATCTTTCATTACCAACTCACTTTCAGCTGATCTTTGTTTTAAAATTATATGCTAAAACTGTAGTGATCAATTCGGAATGCTTTGGTCTTTCACTGGCCGTATCCTATTCCCTTCATGACACATTTTACTGATTTTGTTCGTTAGTGATATTTTCTGCTGCAGTCTATTTGGTCCATCTTCAAAAACAGTTTTTAACTTCATCGCGTACTTTTTGTAATGTTTTTTTCTGGTCTAAGTATAAACTAATCGTACTAAAAAATGTGACTGCAAGCAGCGAGATCAAAACCAAGGTCTGCTATATTTTGGCGATATTTGAACCGATGTGAAATTCGAGCAGGGTCATTGCAGATCAATTTTTTGATTGCCGCTGCGCTCTCCGTTGCACCATTCCCGGTGTGACCGCTTACTCGCTTGGCTGGGCCACTTGACTTCAAATTTGCAGTGTTTAAACTTTTTTTCCCAAAAGCCTTGCCTACCTATCGATCTTAACTGCTTTAACAGCGATTCATTCTCAACTTCCATCCGTAGCAGCTGCTGTTTTCAGGCCATTGCCGCTAACTTGGCGCTTTAAATTACCCGCTTCGATATCCTTCTTTTATTTACCGCTTTCACTTACTGATTTCATTTACCGCTTGCCTTTGACGGTTTCGTTTACCATTTTCCACTATCGCTGGCACTAAACACCGTCGCCCCATTATTCTGTTAACTTGTTTGTGTCTGACTCCATTTAAAGCAGCTGACAAAAAAAGAAATTTTCCCATCATAATTATCGAAATTTAAAATATGAGAAAAAGAAAGAGTTTAATTAAGCAAAAGGTTGTATCAAGATAAAATAATAGAACTATTATTTTATCCTGGTTTTTTCCAACTTGTTGTTTTATCAAATTAAGACAGTGTTTTTAAAAAACTGTGAAATGGTTTTTTTCAAGTATCCTTTGCCAAGAGAAAGTTGGGAATGTAGTTTTGCCCAGCAAAATACAGAGGTTTATTGGGTGACTGCACTCTAATTTCAAACATAAATTCTCAAATATTCAAAGAGAAACTTAGATTGATGATATGGAATAGTTTTAGCAAAGTACCTTTGACTTATGCCCTTCTTTTTGTTGTCATTCATCCAAAATGTTTCTGGGCCTCCTCGTAAACAGAATTTCACTTTTTATTTTGCTGCCACACCTCATTAACTGAGTTTAAATTCTTCTACGAATTGTTAACTCATTGACAATATCCCCCTTGCGTTGAGAAACTTCAGAGTTCCTTAATCCCTATCATTTAGCCTCTGGCTTTGTTTATCGTACACCCCTGTGTAGCAAGACTCGTGCTCGAAATTTCCTAACCTCTTTCGGGAGTCCTCATTCGACAAACTCGTTTCCCCGGGATTTTTTTACATTTCTCTACATCCCCTGAAAGCTAATATTTTCTGTTTCCAGCCAGTTTTAAGTTCCCCCTTCAAAAGATTTATTTCCCTGTCTTAAATGACACGAACTTATCATTATAAGTTCTTCTTGAGGTCCAATTTCCGGTGAAATTTTACCCACCCCCTCTGCCATTTTGCTGTCCTCTGCCATATTTACCTGCTGTCCTTGTACACAGACTTGCTAGGCTTGTTACATGGCGACGTTATCGTAGAATTCTACAGTAGATGTAGTTCCAATGCTACGTTCAGAAAGTTTAGTTTCGAACCATCGATCAAGTGTGCGAATGCATGACACAGCAAATATCAGTGGCTCCACATGTTCTCAAAACGTGATTTTTATCCTTTGTAGATAAATACAAAATTGCGTAATTTCATTTGCATCTAAAACATCTGCTCAGCCTTAAGTTTTTTTCAAACTCCTTCCCAGGTGTATTCAGGCGGGCATTTGTTTGAAGAGACCTTTTTAAAGAGGACATTAACCTGTAATTTAATTGAAATGTTTTCTCTCCATACAGCAAAAACTGAGGGTGGCATTCCCTGCTATAAAGCTCTCGCTAAATACCCTCAAACACGAAATCTCTAGAAAGCTTCTCTAACTAAGAACTGCAATGATCTAGCAATAAAATATAAAGAATCAAAACCATGTCTTATCTTTGTAATGCTCCTGCCATTTTCCTTTCATCTTTAACTTTTTATTTGTTTAGTAAAGCATACTATATCCTTTGCAAAGCTCCAGTGATCATCCTTAAGATAGCTTGCAATATCATCTCAGTAAATTCGTATACAAAAACCTTAAACATTTATACTATTCGCGGTTTTTAATGATTTGTCAAATTCTTTGAGCGGAACTTTTTCAAGTCAGTTTCCACTAGGCAGGAATTAGCATTCCCCAACAACTGGCCTTCCTCTTTCTCCGCAAAATTCAAAGAAACTGGTTATTTTTTCCAAAAGCTCCACTAATGGCTATCTCACGGTGATACCCACTTTTGAGCCAATAGTTGTATCCAGAAATTTGTTATCTGATGTCAAACCCTCGCACAAAAAATCCTAAATAAAAATACTGGGGGCTTATTTATTTTGATATTTGAAGCTTATTCGAGGAGGGCTTATAAAATTATTATAGACATTAAGAAGACATTATTAAAAGACCTCGTTTATTTTAGTAGGAATTTCTTTATGAGCATTCAATAAAACCAAAAGTATGACTTTTTGCGGTAATTCAATAAAACGCCAAAGGTAACCTCAGATGGCAAAAGTCATCAAATTGAGGGGTCCAATTCGAGAATTTACGGTAGCAGTGGGGGCTTATTCGAGGGGGGGGGACAATTCGAGGATTTACGGTAGTAAGATAACTAAATCAAAATAATACAACGGCAACTATATTACTCAGAATAATCATCTGAGATATAGCAAGAAGATCTAAAACGTACTGTTCTCTCTCTCTCTCTCTAAAAGTTATATAACTCTGTTTTTCATTATCTGTTAGTAAAGGTGAATACAATGTTATCACATTCACCCTGATTTGCTTTATGAAACGTACGCAGCAACACGTTAGTAGAGCTGTCTTTCAATTTTTCAATTTTGTCTGTTGGCCGCCGCAACCTCCTGGGTTTATATCTTGGTATTATTGCGTAAACTCAAGTAATTTCCCGTCTTTCGATGTAAATTGTTCACTTTTTGGAGCAGGTGTCTTACCGAACTTTCAAAAAATGACTGCATTCAATTATCGTTGGTCTTTTCAGAATATTGCCAATTATTTAAGAGGTTTTGCTTTGGCCAAAGACGTTTAAGAGAGAGAGGGGAATGATGTTTTGGTTCTAGTTCTGTGATGTAAGATATAACTGCAGCTGGAGCAAAAACAAAATTATCGAATCGAAAAAGATTATTGAAAATGGAGTTCTTTACATGAATTATTGATGAGGTTGTAATAGAGAGTGGAATCTCCACGGCAAGGATAGTGAAAATCACCAATCGGTGAGGATACCTTGGCCAGAATAACAATGAGCACATGTCTTTTGCTTTATCAATTAGTATTCAAACTTTCATGACCCATATGAAGTTCCAGCTTGATCCTGCTCAATCGCGAACCCATACATGTTTCTAGAAGATGGAGTTTGCATGTGGCCAAGATCGTTTCTGCCTTCCCAGAAGAAAGACTGGTTAGTTATATAATTATTTCTTTTTTCTGTTTATTTTCAAGTTGATATTTTTGAAAGAAAGCCTGAATTGGTTTTCGATTTTTTAAAACTTGATAAAATCGGATTCGTATATCGTTTCTTTAATGCATGATTGTAATCTAGGTACTTAGTAGGGGGCTTAATCGATAAGTGAAGGGAAATGTTCAATTTTTTTAATCAAAACTTACGCTTCACAAAAGTATAGCGCGAATGTAAGAATGGCGGAAGCACGAGGTCTTTTACAGAGGAATTTTGCTTTCCCAACAAATGCATTTATGTTGATGATTCCATTTCATCATTACTTCTCCTATATGTAACATTGTTTTGTTGTTTTGAAGTGTTTTTATGTTATGTCAAAAGCACAAAAACATCGTTTCAATTATTAATGCGCCAATACACGTATTGTTTTTTATCAAGCTCAACGAGGTAAAGAAAACGAAAAATGGAAGAAAATGAATTGGCACATTTGTTTTCAAAATCACTGCAAAATGTGCATTCATAAGACAAGTTTAGTCGAAAACGGATAAAATTCAAAAACGTAAAAATTATTGCTTGTTACTTTGTAACAAACGATTGGCGAATCTTTTTTCTACTTAACGAATAATTTTTGTCCATTTTCGCGGATGATTTTATGTGGGGATGATTTTATTAAACAATTACTAGGCGGTTGATCTTTTTATTTAGTATCATCATCGTGAGGCTCAATTTGAAGACAATTTGAAGTTTTGATCTGCACTCAAATCTTAAATCTAACTTTGCGTTTTTCTGGCCCCTGGTGGACCCCCATTAGCTTTTGATTTCCTTCCCTTGATTACTTACTCGTCTCAAATGCTAATTTGTCAAGTTTTTTCTTAATCTAGATGGAATCGAAAGGATGCTATCATTTCCGAGGGATATCAAGAATGAATATTACAACAACTTTGGTGGACACTATCTAAGCATCGAAGAATTTTTCCAATTCAAAAAGCTCATCCAGGGAAGATGGCTAGTAAAAGATGTCCCTCAGTTACCATATGCATTCTATCCCATGGAGGTAGCAAGCAGAACTTCTGATCATCTGCAGGAGAAAGAAAGTGAAGAAGGAAAACAAGAAGATCAACAAAATCTTGCTGATTGTGATGACGAGATTGACGTTGAGAACAGCCGCCCTTCTTCGCCTGTCGAGCTTAGGAGCAATGTTAGTGAGCAAGATACTGAAGCAAGTGGCCCTGAAAACCCAGGTAACGTTTCCATTATCACGCAAGAAGAATTCGATTATGAGAAGAATTCGAACCAAAACAGTGAGCTCTCCCGCAACCGCTACGTATTCAATCCATTGCCTATTCGGAAAAAGTCCAAAAAGAAGCATGTACCAGCTGAAGCCAAAGACCAAAACTACTGGAGACAGAGAGTAAAAAATAACATTGCTGCGCGCAAGTCCCGCGAAGATCGACGAAGAAAGGAGATTGAGGTTGTTATGCAGTGCGAAAGCCTTTTGTTGGAGAATTGCAAGTTACGACACGAAAATGGCCTTTTGCAAGCAAGAGTTAAAGTTATGGAGGCATTTGTGCATTCTAAAATTGATGATAAATTTTGATACTTCCGAAATATCACAGGTTGAGAAATATCAAGTTTTATCAAGAATATAGAAATATCAAGAGTATTGTAGAAAATTCTCAGATTTTTAGTTTGGTTTTTTTTTCTCTGCGCGAACTAAAAAGGTATTTTATAACTGAATTTAACGACGGAAGACTAAGGATAGATTTTGCGACAATTGCGCTCTTTGCTTACAGTAATTAAAAAACAATTTTTCAAAGTACTTGCCCAGTTATCCCCAAGAGTGAGGATGCGTGCTCCTCATTTTAAAGCGATCCTACCAACATTTTTACAAACAACCTGTCCATTCGTAGCCTGTTTGATACTTTCAATCTACAATAATTAAAATCATGACATCTTTTAATTGGGGCTTAATCGCCACTGGTCCAGTTAGTGGACATCAGTATAACATGTTCGGAACCTGAAAATGTTTAAATTTTTTTAAAGTCTAATTTATTTCATAAAACCGTGCCCTTTCGCTACTCCGTATCACGAAAGCCTTCCCTTTCCGCTCCGTTCTTCTCAGTATTCCCTTGCTCTGTCGCCTTCGCAGTATTCAAGTTTTTCTTGATATGAGTCGCGTTGCAAGCAAAAGCTCTACATTTTATGCGACATGTCTTCTTTCGAGGAAGCTATCTCTAAGTCCGGGGCAAGTATTTTTAAGTAATGCAATTAAACGGTGTAATTAAATACAGTCATTTTTTTCAGGCAGGTTAGATTCCATTTTTTAAAAGTTCACGACCCATTTCACATGAGCCCTATTGACTAGGTATATAGACTAAAGAATAAAATCACGTGGCTTGTGAAGCAATTTTCATATAGATAGAAGATTTCACAAGCAAATCAAAGCAGCTGCCTTGAGTTTATTCATATAATTTGTTGTTCCTTGTTTGTAGCAGTTTGAAACCTGGTCATTAGTGAATGTAACTGTTCCTTCTACAGCATCCAACCCATTTATTGCCCAGCTCCCGCTGCTATTACCACCTTTTCTATATGGACCCTGGTCAATTGTCAGAAGTATGTAATGATTAATTAAGTATCTAATGAGTATTGCCTTTGCGGTAGATTGAATTAATGTAAATACACAATTTTATTATGAAAGTATAGTATATGGTAGAACATCTTGTTTTATTTGAGGTTCAAATTCAGTTTCCGTAAGAGCATCTCGATTGTCTGAAAATCTATAATGTGAAGTATCATCAAGAAACATCAAGAAAATGTACATTCAGATGATCTCCATCAAGAAAATATAAAATAAATGTTCAGCCTATCGGCTTTGTGGCGCGGAGTGGAATACTAAACTCTTTTTGAATAAAAATATTGCTTATAAGAATATTCAGGCTCAGAATCATCCAATTTTTATGAAGATCATGAAAATATTGTTCAGCCTCAGCGCAATTCTCTCTGTTTTCCGGCAATTGCCTATGTTTGCGATGTTCATATCTCATTCTTTCAAAAATTTTAGTTTCTTTTCAAGAGCGGGCTATGTTCCCCGGCGACCATATCAGATTTGAAAAAATAAAAATAAAAATGTATTCAGGCAGGACAAAATTTATGAAAAACGAATTTATTACTATTAATATTTATGCGCAAAAGAGCAAGGGTACTCTCTCTAAATATAACTAAGGATGGTATCAAAATGAAATCGGTTGGAAATAGTAATCTAAAATTAAATATGTTTAGATGTCATGCTTCCTTCTGTGATGAAGACGCCTTTTTCCAGATTTTGCAGAGAAAACAGCGATGAAACCGTTTCTACGTCCTCGGCTTTATCGTCAAAATATCATATAATCAAGGCATGTTCTTATTCCCATTAAAAGTGGTCTTGAATACATTAACGATGCAATCAAGCTCTGTTTTCTCCGCCATATTCTGTTATGAACTAATTTGAACAAGTTTTTCTATAATTTAACAAGACATAGTAATTCAAACTTTGAGTCTCAAAGGAAATTATTAGTTATCAGGAAAAACGAGAAAGTCAAAGTTACACGACTCAACAGTACCCCTCCCCAAAACTATTCTCTCATTAATTTTAGATGAATTAAAGAATCAATGATTGCAAAATTTGAGGTAAACATGTCTCTGGCCCCACCAATCTAATTTTTGTATTAACATTCATTTTCTTTCGCAAAATTTCTTGATATTTTATAAGGTATTCGAGAAACATATGAGGTTGAAAACAACAAGAAATGGACAAATAAGAAATATGTGATTGCTGCCATTTTCTTAATGCTTGAATTATTTTCTCAGCAAATTAAGATACGGGTATTAATTAGCCTGGAAGTTATTGATTGATTGAAGAAAGGAACAATCAAGACAGGGCTTCAGTTAGTAGGATTACAACAACGCTGATTTTTTTAAGAAGTAGAAAATATACATAACGAATTAGTCGTTAGAAAATCGACACTTTTGAAGATTTGTTGTACATGTGAATACTGAATTTAGATGCCTGAACACAAAGGATCCATAATAATCAAATTTTTCTATAACTTGCTGAGCACACCCATTACTTATCTAACACCTGGCTGTTGGGCGATCATAATAATCATATTTTTAGGGGCATTGAAGGAAGGAAGTGTTTTATCTAGGCAATACGGCATGAATGTATGTAAAAAGTATGCTTGCAGAAATTGGATTTCAACCGAATGTATCTCTGTGGTGGCCCTGTACCCACTGTTGGGAGGCCCCTACATGTAACAATATTTACATCAGTTTTTAAGAGGCATCAAAGTATATGCTGTTTTGATAAGGAGAAAGGAGTAAATGCTCGAAACGTCCTGTTTTTAACAGTCTAACTCATCTTGTCACTTAATCTTTTAACTCGTTTTCTGGTCTTCAACGACAACAAAACAACAACAACAACGACAACAAATCAGTCTGTGGAAACCGAAAGCATGGCAATGGCCTAAAGAGAAAGAGGCAAGAAGCATGTTCACATTGAAGGTCAGTTACTTTGTGAGCTCAAACTTCTTTAAATAGCAAATTCTGGATCACTGATGTTTTCGTTTCGAAAAAAATTACGAAATAGTCCTAGAAGAGACTATTTCAAACAAACTAGCAGGGGCGGATCCAGAGAAAAAAATGATGTTCTCACCAACAAGAAAGGTGTTGTATGGGCGTAGACCCTGCAAAAAAATTGGACCACGCCCTTTTAAATTTCCGAGAAACTTTTTTTTGAAAAGTGTTTTATATCGACTACACTCTTTTTCACATAAGAAACTTTGTAATTTTTCACTACTGAAAGTTTATTAACTTTCCACAGAATTCAGCACTCAAATCAGAATCCAGACTTAAAAATTCAGTTTTTCAAATTTTTATTTTTTGGAAATAGCAGAAAACCAATAGAACAGGAGATTGACTGTAATTTTCTGTGCATTTCACTTTTAAATTGTTAAAATAGCATCACACCAAACCCTTTTAAGGATTTTTATTTGGAAAAGCACAGCCTGGAGCAGTATTTTCATGCATGCAATCCTCTTTTCTAATTACACAGTACATGTTTTCTACCAAAAAGAAGATTTACTACTTGATGAATTTTGTAACTAGTCAGTGGCCCTGGTACTGAATTTCTTAAAGAGTATTTCTAATAAATAAAACAGTGTATCACAAAAAGATTGAAATTACAAATGCTTTGACAAGTAACATTTTGTGTGTACTTTAATATTGAATCTAGTTTATTGAATTCAACAAAGAATTCTGTGACAGAAGAGCAATACTTAATGCTGAAATGACATTGAGCTACATCAAATGAAGCATACTACAGACCAAGCAAAGGCAATAAATGTTTTAAACCTCACCAAAACATGTAAATGATAATAATGATTGGTCTGCAACATGAAATAAATCAGAGCCTTACACTAATTAATATTCAAAAAATGAAACAAGGGATAACTTTGATGGAATTAAACAAGGAAAAGGCTTGCAATGTTTCATCCATTGCTAGCAATATAATAAATGTGGAACAAAATGAGAATGATTTAGGTGACTGCATTTTGCATGTAGTTTCAAGCATCTTCTGCCTTAAAAATGAAAGAAGAAAGTGTGCATTTTTTAATCTGGAACAGTTATAATTGCTTCTGATGAATTTTAGATGAGACAAGTGTCCTACAACTACCATTGAAATGGTTCAATTCAATTTTTTTTAAATGTCAGTGACAAAATCAGTAATTAACTGATTTCATATACTTAGATATGTCGTTTTATGGTCTTTATGATTATTGACATTCTGTCTGTTATCACATAATAATATCAAAATTTTGCCAGGCTTTTGATTTATCCTAGAAAAAGGAAAATTGACACCAAACCCCCCTGAAAAGGGTGAATTCCTCAGGCTACCGAACATGCTTATAACTAAAAAATTCAGATTCAGACTTGTCCATGATTGTTATCAAACAGCCAAAATAAGGGTGTAATTTAAAAATGAGTATTATTAGAATAATATGTGACTGGAAAACCTAACATCAACCTAAGAAAATTTAAAAAGTATCTAACATGACATGATATTGGGGATGTTTAAGCATATACTACTTCTAAATGTAATAGAATAAAAAACAGTCAGCTCACTTTGTTTAAAAGCGTGTACATGATAGTCAACAAGCAGGATCATGAGGCCTAAGTAAAGTCCAGGTCTAGTAGACTCCACGTTATAAAATATAACTGAAAGATGCAAGTGGTCTTGTCACAGGCCTAGGTCTAAAGCCTTTTAAAGATTAATCACAAGGCAAAAATGAAAAAAATAAGTAAAATTAGAAGCGATGAGGATGAGCACAAACCTGAAACCTTGCACAGCAAAAGAAAACAATTTCCTCCTTGATTAAACTAAACTAAATCAAAACATTTTTGTGACTTCGCGACTAGGCTATCAAACAACTGCCACCCAAATAATTCTTAGGTCAAGAAGAAAATTTTTGATTGAATTGATAGCAGGAACATCATTTTTTATTTCCATATTAATGTTTCTACATCCTTGAGACATTCTACTTTTGATTTACAGCAATCTTTGCAGGCTTGGTTTATTGTACTTTACTCGAGTGAATTGGATCGTCCAGCCTGTGAGAACTCCTGAGTTCTCACCAGAATTTCGCTATACTTTTTCAATGGATAATCTATGTCAGAGTTTCTCACCAGCTACGTCAGAGTTTCTCACCAGAAAAAAAAGAAGACAGAATTTGATTGTCTTTTTCAACTCGCGCACGAATTTAATTTATTTTTGAGTTCTCACCAATTCATCAGCTTTAAACCAAAATTCTGCCCTTTCATTGGCTGACAAAACAACAGCTAAATTTATTTCAAAGATGAAACAATTGTCCAGATTAATGAGAATTTTTTATCTCATTCAGATTGTCTTCAAACTGGCTCCTACGCATCGTTAAGCTACTTAGTAACTCAGAGACAAACTAGGAAGGTTTGTCTTTGGAGTAAAATTACATAATTTTTAACCTTGATTTTTGCAATTTCATTTTTCAAGAAAAATGATGTTCTTTCTCATGTGAGAACAATGAGAGCATCTGGATCTGCCCCGGAACTAGGTATTATCAAACTGTAAAATACATTTCGACGCAGTATTAGAAACTGATTCATACATCAAAAGGAAAGTAGTATTGCACAGGTTCCTGGTATCATATCTCTTTACATGACAGCAAAAATTTTCGCCTTCTGTTTTATAATTTTTTGTTACACTTGAAGATGTATATGTATATGTAGATATATATCATGTTGAGTAGGCCTAAGTCTATAAATGGGCTATATTTCATTAGATTTTGATCATTACCATTGAAACTGTTTTATGTGAAATGTCACTCAAAAATCTTATTCGAAGTTTTCAGTGATTTTGATGATGCTTAGAGAGTAGTATAGTCAGATTCAATAGAAAATAAGTTGCATGAAAATGGCTGTTAAAGGGGTTGTTAAGAAAGACTTTCTCTCAATAGATTTAACCAAGGATAGCGTTCCTTTTTTAATTTTAAATTCATAAAAATAGACTTGAAAGCTTTTAGAATAAGAAATAATGTGCAATCACCTTAAGTTAATTAGGTATATTTTCAATTTTGCTTTGAAGATTGATTTAGAGCCTACCTTTTGTAGTTATAGTTGTATGTCATTTTTTTGTATTTTTGTTGTTTTATTTTTGTATTTGTTTCTACCTAGCATCCGAAGGTAGTTTTCAGGACACTGAAACCTTATGCTTATCGAGCAGTTTTCTAGTCCTTCCTCTTGATGTGACCACACCTCGTGATTCCTATGCCTGGAATTACAAAGAGCTAGTGACTCTCCTCACTCTGGGTGAAAGTTTGGCCATGCCAGGGACTCAAACCACAGACCCTTGGGTCTGTTGTCAGCACCTCTGACAACTGAACCATCCTTGCACCTAATTCATCAAAAATGTCATTCAACATTTAGCACCAGTGCCAAAAAGGTATTGATTATCATTCATCATAAAAATATTTCAGTTACTTTTTGTTTGCTTAAACTGTATTTTTGGTCTTTATATGCTTTCTTTCATTATTCTAGTTTCCAAAAGAAGCATGGAAGAATCACACCGCAGACTTCACGAAGATTTTTGCTCATTTTTATCGGAAATTCAAAAGTTGAAAAAAGAAGGAGATAGTATCTATTGTTCTCAACCTTTAAAAGGTTATTTGCAACAAGATTCACAAAACTGCAGTGGAAAAATCACCAGCAGAGTTTCCCAAGAGCCTTCTAAAAGAGAAATTGAAGGAAGAAAGCAGTACCAAAGAACCTCTTTGAAGACTAAGATACAAATTGATAAAATTGAAGGTACCCTTTGTAACCCCATATATGTTTGTTTTAATGGATTTTGAATAATTTGAGGGGACTGTAATTTATCTCAAAAGTTATTCATGATAATTTATCTTTATGTTTGTTTGTCTCTTATACCCATATTTTCAAATTTGAAATGAAGGTTCCATTGTGTTAGTCTCATTTTACTTGAACCAGGAAAAACATTTGTTATCCATTCCTATTTGAAAAAGTGCCATTTTTAGCTACATACATTGATTGTTTAACTTCCTTAAAAAACCTCAAAAAATTTCATGAAAGATATTTTCAATAATTTTCAGAAACATTACATGGTAATGACAGCGATGAAGCAGAGGCTGATGACAATGGTAAATCTCTACATGATTCAAGATTGCTAAGACCACTGAATAATAGTTTACCATACAACACAAATAAAGAGGTGAGCTCTCGACTCTTGCTGTCTGTATTGAACAACATTGTTCTTTGTTTATAGTTGTTTTGTTTTGTTCTAATATTTAATAGCTTCTTCAGTCTCTAGTGATTATTGCAAACTCTTTATTCTGTCCGTGTATTTTCATGATTCAAGCGATCTCTCTACCGAAATAAGAAAGATGAAAGATACTTTTTATGTTAGATAGCTGCTAGGAATATCAGTACTGAACCATAAAAGTTTGCTTTATTAAATGGCCTTTTGTAGTTTTTCATTGCAGAATTTGCTAACATAATTTTCATATACATGTTTTATATTTTTTTAAGTCTATGTAAGATTAGTTTCCTTGGTCAGATATGAAGCTTCCTTCCCTCTTTACTGATGAAATAAAAAACTACTTTAATTGTAAGTTTAGTATGCAGTAGCATCTCTGCAAATTTGAAAATATTTCTTTGTTAAGAACTGTATTTTCGTTTGTTCACCTTATTTTCATAATCATCTTAATCTTTCTTTTAATAATGTCATTTTTAGGGGTTTGAGGGCCAGAACTGTCAATGCAAAGATGAGAATAAGAAGAGATGGGTAGTGCACAAGAAATACAAGGGAGAACAGGTAATGCATTTGTATGCAGTATTTCTATAATTGTGATTCAGCAATTACTCAACATTTGCTCACAAGTCCAGAGTGTACCAACACGTATAGTGACAACAACTTCAAAGTCATTGGGCAAGCAAGGTTGGCTTTCATTTAAGGGTTTTTGAACCTGTTAACATAAGAAGCAAAAGTTTCCTTTTTGTGTGGACAGAAAGAGTTTGTTTTCTCTCTTGGACACTTTATTTAGGTGAGAGGTAAGCGGCCACTGATTGGTAAAAAACAAAAGAAACAACAAAAGAATCTCAGGTTACTTTCGATTCAAACCTGGATATTAATTTTTAGCTTACTTTCAAGAGAGTCGGAAGAAATGTACTTCAGTATGCCATGTTTCCGCTATTGCGTGCCATCTTCAAGTTTCTAAAAGTCTAGAACAGTAATCTTTATGCTTATCATCATCATCATCATCATCATCATCATCATCATCATCATCATCTCTGCCTGTTCACGTCACTGCTGGCAGGTGGCCTCCACAGCTGTCTCCACGCTCTTCGATCTTGTGCCATATGAGTCCACAGGCAGTGGTGGACACTTAGGGGGCGAGGGGGGGCGCCCGCCCCCCTCCAATACTTTAGAGGACAATGGTCTATTGTTCTAAAACAATGGGAAATGTGACGTCATCTTATTAAAACAATAGGCTTGCCCCCAAATATATGATCAAGTGTCTGCCCCTGTCCACAGGCTGCCAGCTTTCTCCTCTAACTCATTTCTCCATCGTCTTTTTGGCCTTCCTCTTCTTCGTCTTCCATTTCTCGGCATCCATTCTGTTGTTATCTTTGCCCATCTGTTGTTGTTCATTCTGGCAAGGTGTCCCGCCCACTGACCTTTCATCCTAAATACTTTCTCTGTAATGGCTTTCACTTTTGTCTTTGATCTTGTCTTTTAACGTTATAATCAGCATTGATCTTTCCATGCTTTTCTGAGTCACTGCGAGTTTCTCTCTCTCTGATGTTTCGTGAGTGACCATGCCTCTGCTCCATATGTCATCGATGGTTATACTACAGTGTCCATGATCTTTCTTTTTAAGCATATAGGCATCTTCTGGTCTTTCAGGAAGGTGCTGTACTGCCCAAACCGTCTCCACCCTGATGTTATCATCTGATAAATTTCTTTCGCCATCTTATTTTCTGGTGTCAATAGTCTTCAGAGGTACTTGTATTCATCAACCTCTTCTTGCTGTTCTCCATCCACTGATATTCCTCTTTTCTGTTGTCTTTTTGCGACTCCATTGCACATGATTTTTGTTTTCTTTTTCTTCATTCTCATTCCATCTTTCTTTCCTTCGGTGTTGAGATCATTTAGCAGTCTTTCCAGTGATTTCAAAAGCCATTCTCCAGTTAAAGACTGAATCGCCACAGTGATTATTGAGCGAGCAGTAATTAGGCATGGGCACAAGACAAGGAATTTTCTTTATGCAACAAACTGATATTATAAGTAAAATGGAAAGAATATGTTTTAATCTTGGATACTACTGAATTCAATAACTGAAAATACACGAAGTGCCTGTAAGTTTTAGCGCTAAGTCAAAATATATATTAGGCTTTAAAAAAGTCTAAACATACTTGAAAGACAACAATGTATCCTTTTTTATTCGATAAGCAGTCTCAATTGACAACAAGTAAGCAAGCAACCATCAGAAACTATCCACTCCCTTTAAAAATAAGCACACTGCTGATAGCCTTTCATTTTTTGGGCTGTAGAAAAGGCTCAGTTTTAATTAACAACTCTCTTTCATTTGCTTGGGCCCAACAGGAGTAAGTCACATTCAGATGTCCAGAGTTGGATAAGTTGGTAACTGTCTGTCTTTAGTTGGTAACTGTCTTTACAAGTGGTGTTCATTGGCCAGGAGACAAATACCTTAAAGTACTGTTGAGTCCAGATGCAATTAACTTTATCGGAATCCAGAGAATAGTTCACTTTACTGGTGTATTCTTTAAAATCATGTAGCATGTTTTGAACCAGCTATGGTGATAAAGTGTAGGTTTTATAGCTGTGAATTGAACACATTTTAATGAAAGACATCAGCACAGCTTAATTCAGCGTACCGAAAATTTTGTTCATTCAGGTAGAGGGGGTGGCGCGGGGTTGATTTATGAAGTGGAGCTCTTTCCGTAATTCATTAATTCACCAATATTCCAGTATCCATATGACTAGAACGGTACCTTAATTTACTAATAATTTGCTCAAATGAATCTAACTAAGGAGTACGGGTAAGGAGACTGGTATCTCAGATTGGATGCTATTAAATACTTTTTGATGTAATAAAATTTAGAGAGCTGTTGCAATTAACCACTAACAGAATAAAAATTTTCGCGTTAAAAAATTTAAATTTGCTTTTAATGAAACAAACAATTTAAAACATACTAACGTCATAGTTGTTACTTGAACCTACAAACAAAGGGCTTTGTAATCATTTTTCAAAATCAGATAATTTGCCAAATATTATGAAAACATACAGTGCTCACATTACTACTAACTAAAATACATGGTCAGCGGTTTTCCGCCATTATGTCTTTTACAATTCGTCTTAATTTAGCTCTGTTTGCTGTTATCTCTTGTAGGACTTTTAATGTTTTTTCAGGAGGATTTGACTCAATGTTTAGTTGTATGTTGATCAGTGTTTAGTCTTTTTCTATCAATTTTATCCACGTAGTTGGCGGTCTTCCGACTTTCTTTTTAGTCTTTGTTTAGTACTCACATTGACGAGTCCTAATTGTTTTCCAACAGGTCTGTCTCCTACTAGGTCTTTCCCCTGCAGCTTTGAAGTGCAGCTGCACCTTGCTTATTGCAAATGGAAAAAACAGATCTATCGCAAATCTTTTCGCTCTGACCATAAGAAGTTTTGATTAAATGGTAGAATTTATTAAAGCATGCTAATTATTTTATCATCTCAGCAATAATTTAGAGGTTCTACGTGGATTTATTTGAGTGAATATTCTACCGTTTATTTGAGGTATTCTTCTTATGCAATATTCAACTAAGTATACCCAGTATTATAATCTTGAAAATGATTTTAAACCCAAGTTTATCAAGCTCGAAAATAAATACTTTTCCACCTTAATGTGTAATAAACTTATTTATCGCAAAAGGCTTTCCATAGGTTTTACAAACCTGATTCCATCTGTGGCTGCGTCTGAAGCTTCAAATGTGCTAGAGAAAGGGCACAGAGAAGAAAAATGTTGTTTATCAATTTTTAACAATATATCTTACTTTGTTATGCAGGTATAGATGCTCTGTCAACACTTTTTACATGGCCTCTGTAGATTTATCGTTCTAGTTTTGACCCTTTCCCTGTGCATAGCCCAGGGACCGTTGAGAATATTATGGGACGGGGGATTGCCTATAAACTTTTTGGCGCTCAACATGCTTAAAACTAAGAGCAAGATGATTTATTGTATGGCTTTAAGTACACTTTTTGAATTATATTATTGTGCGAAGTCTCCTCAGCACTCCCTCCCTTGCTTCAATGATCGTTGGCATGTCATTGTTTTTTCATGCCCATATCCATGAGAAGGGACATTGGCACAAATACTGTAACATTCTAATTTTGCTTCCTACTTTCCAGTCAGTACCACGCTGTGAACCATCAACAAACAATGAAGACACACTGTACTGTTATCGCATCTCTGTGAACCCAGATATCAACTTCAAGGTAACATCGTTATAGTTTATTTGTAAACCAAAACTGGGAAACTTGAATTTCAGTGCCATAACGTATATGATAACAAAATGTTTCTTGTAGTCATTGATTGTGTGGTAAAATTCCATTAACACGATTTGAATTGTCAAACTTCCATTAATACTAGAAAATACTTCCGTGCACGCAGATGCTCAAGTGACATCTTGTGTGTAACAATTTTATGATGATAAACCCTACTTTTTAACGGCTGTCATAAAGTACACGATGACATATAGGCAGAGCTGTACTCGTTTTTGGTGTATAGAACCGTCTGCTTCGTAGAACTGTCCTACTCTATACACCAAAGGCAATATATGTTTAACGTTGTCAAGTTCTGCTGAACCCAGTAAATTTTTAAAGAAAATCGACTCGACGCTTCGCCTATTGAAAAAAACAATCGATTGTGCCATTCTCTTTCTCAAGTGTTTTTGGTCTGCAGCTGACAGGAGACCCCAAAGTTTCTAGAAAAATATTTTTCTAACAGGTCTAGTTGACAGTTAATGCTTTTAAAGCTACTTAGTTTGATGAAAAGGGAAAGCGTCAGCAGAATGCTAAAATTATGGTACCAGCCATATCAGGTAATGCTGATCCAAACAAAGGCAAGTTTCAAATTATTGAAGAAATTCAAAAGTTGCATTCCCAAACATCCAAATGGGCAGGAACCAAGCAAGAAATTCAACATTAGCTCCGTCATAAGGAGAGAAGACAAACAGCTGCTGAATATGCTATAGTTAGATTTCTGGGTTGGTAGCTGCCAAAGTTCGAGAATGAGAAGGCTGTTCTAAAGATAATTGCTCACCGTTTCCCTAAGTAGCATTTGCTTATCTGTCTTAATATCCTTGATTTGACAATATCCTTGATTTGTCCGTGTTTAAAGCGCTAATGAAAGTCCACTTCAATTTTGGGTATGAGTTTAGGTAATATCTTTGCATGCATTTGGCCCTATCATGGAACAATACCAGGCCTGCGCAATGAATGCGCTACTTGTCAAAGTCAATTTTAATGGATATGAACGTTTGACGTAACATTGTTGTCGTGGCTGGTGGAAATATTTTAAATGACCAAAGAAGATCCGATCCGATCCGATCCGATCCGATCCGATCCGATCCGATCCGATCCGATCCGATCCGATCCGATCCGATCCGATCGAAAGAAGATTCAGTTAAGGATTTTATCAGTTCGCATCTACAGAACACTTTTTGTCGAATCAACTTTATGTTATACGCAGTCCCGTTATAAATACAATTTATTGGAAGAAGGCACTCATGCAGCAGGGGGTGCTCATTGGCACGTTTGAAGCAATACTGTGCCGGAACAAGAAAAACGAAATTTACATCAGAAAGCAGCAGGGGGTGGTTTTCTCGATCCTATACAATTATGAAAATCAGCATAATAGTAGTCTTAGTGTTTATGTTCAGGATATATATTTTTGCTGATTGGCTTAAGGTCTGATGAACCTGGTATATCTCCAGCACATCTGCATATGCAAACTTCACGCAAGATTTCTTGATTTTTGCTGCAGTAAAACGTTGTTTTGCAACCCACGCAGCTGGCCCAAACTGGGTAATCAGGATCAGAGTTAGATGAATTATCAAATCTCCTTCAGTTTTGCAAGGTGTCAGAGTAAGATGTTTGCATTTTGGAGATTATTCAGAGTCAATTTTGAATCATAATTCGGGTTGTTATAAACATAGATTTTCAGAATTTTAAGTCTGTATTGAGTCTGCTGACAAGCTCTTGCCTATCGCTGTAGCTTTGAAAGTATTTTTGGATTATTTTATGAATACGTAAGCAGCACTCGTAAAAAGGAAGGCAGCGCAGCTGGGAGGAACTACAAAAAGCGTAAGAAAGAGGGGTGGGGCCAAATGCTATCTTTGTCTGCATCAAAGGAGCCTTGCCTGGATTGTGCATTTTCAGCCCCCTGTGTTAACGACCTCAAAAGAATGTCCTTTGGGGCTTATGTGTCGGGATCGAAAACCATGTAATATTTTGTCATTAAACCCAGAAATTAATCCTTTAAAAGAGTAAACTAATTTGTCAAAATATTACGAATATTGAAGAATCTTGGATAAATGTTTAATATGCGGACGTCTTACGATAAGTTTTCAGGTGCCAGGCCTCCCTAGCAAATTCTGTCATATTTGACCCTTTAATAAATACCAGCAACTTTTAGGAAGGTTCTAGTTGCTATTTTGTTTAATGTTGAATCGGCCGCTTTTTGATAATCCCTTAAATTAAGGGTTTATGATACTTGCGCAATAAGGTTTGTAGATGAATATGGTAGGAAGGGAAAGACATGTTATTTTGGTATAATTTCGTGTTGTTTTGTAAGTTTGTAGCACCAAAGACATATTTTGAATAATATTTACTTATAATCACATTTAACTACCGTTTACCACTGTTCACAACCTTTTAACACCGTCAAATATCATTTACCATAGTTTTTGCTTCTGAAGTAATAACGATTATTTCAGTATTATTACATGAATCAGTAATGATCATTAACGTTTATTTAATTGTTTTAGGCAAGATTTCCTACAGAAATTTGTCATCGTGGAGATATTTACGAGTTTGATGGCTTCCTTCTGTTGACACACTGCTTGCTTGAAAGGGTATTGAAAAATCATTTTCTTTTGTCTGGGTATCTGTTATACTGAATATTTTAAATTCTTAGCAGGTATTTCTGTTGCTATATAAGTTTTTAATATTTATCAAATAGACGCGAGTCATTGATTTGACCGATATCATAGATTTTTATTCTTTTGTCCCTTAAAGAATATGCCACAAAAGTGTTTCGTACTGATCACAGGCAGCGAGAGCTGTAGACCTTGGGGTGGCTCAAAGGGTTAAGATCCTCTTCTACTTTTGCTCTTGTTTTCAGTTTTGCGAGGGCCCCCCTGCACTTTTCATAGCAATACATCCCCGTGTGGAACTCTCCCTTTCTTTCTTTAAACATTTTGTTCAAATTCTCTCCTGGCGTTTCTCGCTTCTCCCAGAATTTAATCTTCTTATCAAAGAATATTGACCGAGGAAAGAGAAAGAAGGCTTGTTTATACTAGCGAAGCGTCATTAAGATAACTTAGTCCTTTGCAAGAAAGGCCCCAAAGGAAGTGAAAACTGACAGGTGGAAACATTCTTTTCCATTTTCCGTCCAAACCGCACTACACCATCCAATCATTGATATTTTCCCCGCCTCTTCGAGCTATTTGTGTATTACTGGACATGTGAATAAAGTTCTTTCTTTCACTTAGGTACCAAAATGTTCATTCACTTATTTTAAGAGACTATACAGTATTACACTTCATTCAGAGAATATTCCTAAGGTGAGAGAAAGTTCCGGCCTTTTTCCAATTAACAAATTCACACAGAAGCACTAGATGAAGCTAAGCTATAGTTTTGACTAGGCATTGTTTTGACTGGTCACTAAACATTTCTTGGCCACAATTTTTTTATGTTTACAGACAGAATACTCGGTCTGGCCAGCAGGTTCTTATAGCTGAGATTTTTAAACTTATCCTTAAAGTACTTAAAAGCGGGAGAAAAGCAGGGAGGGGAAATACTTCCAAAATGATTGTGTTTATTTGAGGGATGTTGTCATGATGTCTTATTGTATTTATAGTGTACTCAGACGCTGTTGAAAATTTTCATTAAACGCTACTCAGCCAGTCTTTCTTGTTATTAATCACCCAGCGTTGCTTCAAACTTGAAGTGCTATTAAATTTTCATCTAAGGTATAAAAACATATTGTTTTTATTCATCACTAGATCAAAAACCTTAAACTAAATCGTCATTGTGAAAATATGTTTATCCTGAATGTTCTTAAATTAAACAGACGACTATTTCTCTAAGTTTGAAAAAAAATTTTAATGTTTAATATTCGCATGTATGATGTCAAAATTTCTTAACTTCAAAGGTTTTAATTGACCATATAAGTATGTTTTATTTTTAAATCAGAAATTCTGCATCAAAGACCTCGAACTATTTCATAAATTGGTTTTTGAAGAGTATTTTGAAATCTCGGATTGGAACATAAGCGGTATGTTGA